TGCATATGCGGCGAGACAAAGGGCCAATATGACCCTCGGAGCCACGTAGTACATCGCAAACAGGATCGTGGTTATGGCCAGTAAAACAGGTGATTGCGTTGAATTGTCTCGCGTTCCCTCTCATTTTATGAGCCCGAGGTCCTGCGTCACCCTTAATTACCTCCGCGTCCGTCAAATCCGACGGATTACCGAAGATCCTTCACCGCTTCGACATATTGAAGCCATTCGTCTTAAGCCCGGTCCACCCACCCAACCGCGTCTTGCTCTCAACTTTTCTCGCATGGCAATGAAAGCTTTTTTACGTTTCCGCTTTTCGCCCCCTTCGACGACCCGATATTACCGAAGAGAACCCAAGGAAAAGCCCGCAGGAACAGGCATTGTTCGCAAGACGGGACCGAACAATAAAAGGCACGAAATGAATAGCTTTATTCTCAAAAGGAATACGGAAGCAAATTTGATTTACATGTCTAATATGTAAGGTAGAATGATATTTTGCCTTTCTTGTGTAATATCCTTATGACATAATAAATTATAAATCATTCAAGAAATTTGAAACGAAAGAAAAATTCTTTAAATTATGTATAGATTCAGAATTCGATTGGGAACTAAAATCAAAAAAAGATTGCCAAAAAGAGTCGTGGTGGCTGAAACATTTTTTAGACACATAGTAGCTGGAAAAGGGTTGCGTGACAAAGTCTGGCGCGCATGTTCAAAATGGTTGAAAACAGGGATGAATGGAAAAATCTTCTGAAGAGTAACATTCAAGATTCTAACTGAGAAGAAGTGTGGCGTAATTTGCAGCATTCTTAATTTTATCCTTCAAAGTAATATTCGTCTAATATGATGTTTCGTCTTATCCGATTTTGTAGTTAGCAGCTCTGCACTAGAAGTTTGGTTTTTATCCCATTCACATCTAGACATATTCCCTTAGCTACGTTTTTAAGTGCTTTAAAGGACTCATCTATATCTGTTACCTTTGTTATGTTGATGTCGTCTGCATATCCTATGATTCTATGATGATCGATCCTGTTCCCAGGCTAATCTCCTTGTTTCAAGCCTTGTGTATCTTCAAAATTTTCTGTTTCTTTAAATGATGTGTAGATTAAGACTTCGATAATTTCTTTTTTAATAGTCTATTTTCGCATTAGCTTATTCGTTAGTCTTAACGCTATACATCAGCACACGCCATACACTTAAATATATCACCTACAAAGGGCGATATAATGGTTTTCAATATGAGCGGAGTTCCCCGCTGTGCTGGGGCATTAGGCCGCCCCGAGCCGCGGGGGGCCACGGTCGCCCCCGCCTCGCAACTAATTATAACACTCATTACCGAAGTTTATTAATCAATGTTCAATAGTAATCATGGCCATTGGCTCCGGCATTGTATGGGTTCGAGACCGCCCTCTAACTCATCCACCGACGATGGACAAGACATTAACTCAACTCACTGTTCGTCAAAGTGTCTGCGATACTTTGGTGAAGTTATGTTTGAATTTTATTACGTACTTGAATTAACGAATTTAATGTTCAAAGAAGACGAGGAGTCGTTTAGTAGAATACGTCAGGTGTCGGCTCATTGCTTTTAAAGTTTTAGCGAAAAATAGTTGATTATCGACAAGATAGACCCGTGTCAGATACATTAGAAGGGCCATTGTATCCACTAATTACACCACCTTGTTTTAGTAATAGGCAACCCCAATAAGGCCAACTAAAGACTTTGCAAAGCGTCCATTCATATTATGAACAACCTATCATAATTACAAATTATCTTCTAATATCCACTTTACGATGTAACCAACAAAAGCACTCATTTCAAATATTTTACAATAAATATTTTAAGTTAAACATTCCTTTCCCGTTAATAACAAGACACATGGATGAGAACGACGAAAGAACGGGGCAAAGTGGCGATGTCCATGTATCGATCATATATCGGCTCCGTTGGGGTACCTCCATCTTGGACGGCAGTAATGGGTGTAAGAGAGAGGAAAAGACGCGCCGGCGCCGATCAGACAAGGCCAGACTGCGTGCACACATTATGCATTATAACCTGGCATTACCTTACAAACGCGATTGGTTGGCACGACAATCATTGTACGGACGGCCAGACCACTCCCATTGCTTCTCGTAATTTTTCCCTGGCGGCCACGACTTCGTCCTGCCAGGACTGTGGACTACGAGCATGCATATGCATGAACGTGCTAGCACACGTGTAGTCCGACACGCGAATATGGTGGAAAACAAGAAGACTCGAAAAATAAAGATATAGTACATAAAATCCCATTTGATGATTACCTCAACATTTAGATTTTTTTAATCATTACAATTTTTATATAAAAAAATCTTTGTATCTATGTGCATGCATAATCTGAAGATAATCTAGGATTACGGTTTGAAATAGAAAATAAAGAAAAATATTTTATGATGGTACTCTGCACGGTGGCAAAAAATAACCGACAGGAGAAGAAAAAAAACTAGAATAAAAGTGAGTAAAAGGAGGGTGGTCCGCGGACTTATCGCCGGTCGTTGCCTTTTTATTGCAAAGTTCCCTTTTGCCGTCCTTTTTGCCGCACACATAAAAATGCGACATCGGTTCGAAATCTCCGCATATGTGAGGGACGCCGCCCCCCATCGTAGTACATAAACATTCAATCAGCCGGCAAAATCTATAATACCTATAAATGCGATATCAATAAGTACCGTCTCACGGGATTCGGATTCCCCGGGTTTCTATTCCCGACCCGGACATAAAACTAAAAGAAAAAGAAAAAAAAGTAAAGACCATGACACGTGAGCGAAGATTATGTTTGTCTTGAAAATGTTGACCATCACCTCATACTTTTATTGCGACATCCTCACAGATTACCTCTCATAAACGTAATCGTACACTTGAAGAAACTTCGCCGACCTTGACTTGTCGTAAAAATGGACGTGTTTCAGACTCCGAGAAGATTGGATGGTGTCCGGAAGAGGGAATTTTATTTCCCCAGCAATCACATCTTATCCAAAAACACGTGTTACCCCAATATGAGCCCTAATAATCGTTTACAAAGCAACAAAATATTTTCTAACAATGAAAAAGTAATTAATTTAAATCAATCTCCGTCCACAACTTGTCTTGAGGCAATCGCTGCAAGTAATTGTTCCGAGAATGGTCGATAAATTAAGTGGGACCGATCCCAACTTTCCTCGTCCTTATTACGCTGTGGAATGAAATAATTACCGCTGAAATCAAGAATACGCCGATTCTTCAAGATTAGCGCGAAGGACGATCTGTTCTCAGAAACGCAAATACACCCTTAAAATTAATTTTATCGCATCAGATTCACGTTGGCCGGAAATTTTGATTATAATACTTAATTTAAAGTTGAGCGGAAAAGAATTAATGCGATGTTTTCTGTGAATTCTCTTCGCGGTGTCCTCAATTTCGGAGAACATTAACTTTTATAGCCTTTGTTGTTAATGGTTTTTTAGCATAATAAGGGTATGTTTAAGACGTTAAGTATTCACTCAGCGGTAGGTTCTTATGTATTAATATAACTTCATATTTATATTCACGAAACGTATTGACATAGCCAAAAGTGTATAATCACCTAAAATAACAAATTAAAAGATTGATTAATAAATTCGTTGTTAATAATTTCCCCAATATGGATTTTGTGTAGCGTAGCGAAATATATGTTTTAATAATGCGATGCCCGACGAAACTAAATTAAAATAATTATTAACGAACTTAAATTAGACTGGAAACAATCGCTTTTCTCGTCCGTGTCAGAAGTCATATAGAAAAGTTTTAAAAATGGTTCGTCAGGTCACGGGCCGACGGCCGAGATAAAAAAGCTCGGGCCCCAGAAGAAAAGAAAATAAAATATTTAATTAGTTTCTCGGACAGAGAACGTTTCGGAATCGTATTAATCACGTAAAAATGATGAGCCCGCGTGACAGTTATACAAAAGAGGAGGTAATAACTTGGCCATTCGCTCCACTGCGTTTCTCAAAGGAACCGGTGGCGCCGTCATCACCTGGTGGTCTCTCAAACAATCAAATCACAGCATCTCTCTCAGCGGTATTTGTACAAATGTTTCTACTATTCTGCTACCACCTTTGTATACGAATTAAACGAATAAAAAGTGCTTCTGGAATTCTTTATATTCTATAGTTTAGGGTGGAAAACGCAAAAATTATCTCAGCGCCACCCCAACCATTTGGGCTAATAAATTCCCCCAAAATCAAACACATTAACGTGTATCTTTTAGTGAAACAGTAAAAAATCATCGGGCGTTCAGTCAGTCGCTATCAATGATAACACTCACATAAAAGTAAATAGCTTTTGGCAGCCCTCGCATAGTCACGCAGGACCGGAATAAGGTCTACAACCCTCTGTGTATTTAGGGAAATCGTTTGGAAAAGAAACTTTTCGGTATACACATACAAACACTTCTACAGACATCTTTCAATATTTCTTATAAGAAAACCAAGACAAATATCTACTTGAAAAAAATCCAACTCAATCTATCTAAGCCCATACCTGCGTAATAAGATATTTTTTACCCCCTCTAACATTGCATCTTTGTCTTTTTCGTCTTTTTTCACTCTACCCCATAAGTCGTAATCGCATCCCCACGGTGTACACACTGACGCACGCCCCATAAAAACAATATTGCATTCGCATTGTGAATAAGACCCCGGCATTATGATATATGTCTCGTAAAAAAAAGAACGCAAAGACCCCAAAGAGTGAAATAGCGGGGTGGAACGCGACGGCTTTGGCCGACAAATCTTCCTGTATCTCACTTTTTTCCACTTTTTCGTCCGGATTTGCCGCTTCACCGCACTCGACAATCTCTGATATACATCTCTCTCAGTTCTAATAGATTTCCACCCCCAAGATACCGTTTAGCGATAACCACGTTTAGTCATTTTTTCGATAGGGAAGCCTAAAAGATGTAAAAAGAAACAAACGTAGATAAAAATGTATTTTTTCTTTTTTGTTTTAGCCTTGGTTCAAAAACGTTTACGAAGAGAACGTCGAGCAAGGAGACGTCTTCATGAACAGTTAGAGACGGAGGTTAAAAGAAGATTGCAGTTAGAAGAAGCTTTGAAAGCTGCCGGAGCTGCGGATCAAGTCCGACTTATAAACGGTAAGAAAAAAATTTCGTATCTAGATCACGTTGCGTTGGAAATTACAGTGTAGGAATAACAGCCCCGCGGAGTTTGACTCGCGATAATGATTCGGTAAACGATCGGAGCATGTTTTGGACGTGCCCAGAAACGGAACTGTCAATCAGAACGGGCGAACCTTGGGGCTCTCCTGCCGTTCCGACCTCCTCCCGCTAACTAACTTGGGATTGATCTTTCGCTAACTACAAAACGATCACTGCGAGAGTGCCCGGATCTTAGGGCAACGGGATTGGCCGATTTTAAATTCAAATTTCCGACGGGAGGCAATTTAGGATTTTGGGGCTTATTACCCTCCCGAATCGACGACGAAGTTACCGCATCTTGGGCGGCGGATTCTTAACCGAATCTTTGTTTCAGAAAACTTTGCACAGAACGAACAGCAACGCCAGAATAACCAAAAGAACAACAACAATTCGCCTTCGGTTCAAAGTTCGCTAACGGAACAACAACGACCCGAAAGACCCGAACGTCCTGAACGTCAAGAAAGAGTCGAAACTCCACCCACGAATTACTCACAAAGTATGCGAGAACAACAGTTATCTCAAGACACAAAACCATGGGGTTATTCGGGAATTGACCTTATTAATTCTGGGGCTGCTTTTTGGCAAAATTACTCAGGTAAGTTTTTTTTTTTTAGTTCAAAAGATTTCCTATTTTCTCGTAGAGTTCGCCAGGTTGTTGTAGGTGGTAAACAATGCGAAGGGGTCATAAACATATTATGTAAGCGACGATGGGTGCTCGAGGGAAATTACCAGTAGCATAGTAAGTTACCAAGGAGGAGAGATCTCATCCCCGCGTCTCTCACCCTCCTAAGTCAGATATATCTGCTAACCGCCTCGTGTCCTCGTCGTTTGCTATGCAGAATATTTCGCCGTTCGCTAACTCTGCACACAAACCGTTAGAAGTTAGGCATTAGAATTCATGGACGATACCCTACCACCTACTACTACGGCGTACGTTATAATTATTGCTTATACGTGGACGACACCCATCTACGTGTATGTGTGTACATTATCACCCTTTGTTTGTTTGAACATTTTGTCCTCCTCACGGTTATTATTAACAACTCTCATCATTAATACTTAACTATCTAACATTGTTATTATTTTTTTTTAATTAATAGTTACTTAGTACCTAAATTTGCATTGTGCTGTTATAAATTGTTTTGTACAGTTTAAGCTGCCCATCGAAGTTCCTCAAAGTAGCTCAATTACTATTTTCCGGTACCATTTTATAGTTGTATGTAAGAAAGTGTTATAACTTGCGATTGGTCCCACAAATCAAATGGCTTTCTCCATTATTGTCGTCTATGATGGTTGTTGCATTCTCCACATTGCCATTTCTTAGATGAACCACAACTGTAGTATCGTTACGTTTGGTTGAAAGTACATGAAAATCTTTTTTCGTTATTTCATTATACAAAATTTTACTACAATAATGCCAGTTTTCAGCTTTGCCTATGAGCTAAATTGAAAAAAGGACACAGGTCGATTCACGATGATTGTTTATTTTTATGTTCGGTACTACAGTGTTTCGCTCATAGCATGATAAACAATCATCGTGGATCGACCTGTGTCCTTTTTTCAATTTAACTTTCACCATGATGAACCTGGGGACGTTAATTGCCAAATTTCCTATGAACGACTCTGGACTTGTGTACTAATTATTTGTAATAAGTTCTGCTATTTCAGGTTCTGCTACAACCTGGAGGGTCTTTAGAAAATATTGTTTCTGCTTGTATAGGAACTGAGCAACCTGTACCCATGACATTGCCAACATATATTTTTATATTCCACGTTTAGCCCTTATCGGCGCAAAGTTTGAAGAAATTAACTCAATGGCAGCTAAATTTTGAGCAGTCTATTATTACTTTGCCTTCTGGCAGCTTTGAATGACACTAAAGTAATATAATACTACATATGAGTTTATTCATAAGATTTTTTTCATTTATTTTATACTGGTTGATTCCCACAAACTGGTATAACTAGGACTGATAAAACGATACTCATTTATATCATCCGAATTTGGCACAACCTAAGTGGCACAAAAATGCGTTAATGATAATCCATTAATTTAGTTATTTTGTTGTTCACAAACAATGAAAAGTAGTTTTGATTTTGTCATACTTCTGCAATTTCCGAATTGATTTTATACTAAATTTGAACCGTCAATGCTCCTTTAGAATATCCCATCCATTCAGAGTTCTGATAGCTGTCAAAATACTAATATACATTGAAGGTCATTTAGGTTATCATTTAGGATTTCTATACATATGATCAAAAGTTGTATATTTCTATATAAACATGTAAAACAAGTATAAATGTTTGCGGAAACAAACATCCGATAGCAATCTTGGTTAAAAAAACTCCTCACACAGCTAACAAAACCGCTCCGTGGCTGAGTGGAAGCATAAGCTCCTTAAGAGTTCTTGAGATATTGGATGTCGATAAGCAGGCACAGCAATAACTCGCGCAAAGGGTACACAGTGTATGGGAGGCATCGTGGCGTACGCGGTCGTGTCGTGCACGCGTTTTTTGCAAAAAAGGGGCAGTCCGGGCGCAATTATTAATTTATGGCCTGCAACTGAGCCGGACCATTAGGCGGTCCCGCAATCGCGCGAATTCATTTTCCTTTGGCATGTTTGCACTGCGCGAGGGAGAGCTAGCTCTGGCCGTATCATGAAAAACGACCGGTTCAGATTAGCTCCGAGTATGCTAGTTACATTGTTGAGCACCGCGAGTTTCCCCTTATCCTTTGATCGCGTTGCTTTAGGTGCTTTCGACTTACCGGGACGACGACGAATAGTATGTTTTCAGTAATGGGGAAAACAAACTGATCGTCCGAAGTCGATACCGGTCTGTTGTTAGAAGAACGGCCGGCGAGATGCTTCGTCACCGTTTAATAAGCTCTTAATCCGATGAAATTAACTGGTTTTATTCTTTATTCTGAAAGGACAACGTCCCAAAATTCTAAAGGATTTAATTTCTCGGTTACCCACCGACAATTTTCTGTTCCCCTGGTTTTTGGGGAATTCAATCTAATGTCGCGCTATTAAGGGTGACAATAGATTAATTTTGTGCCGAATGTGTAAAAGAACCCAAACTGATGGTATCCGTTACCCTTCGATTTCCAACGATAGGTTTATAATTATACGTTTGACTCCACAAACGGTGTGTTAGGATATGCCTTTCCGGTGATAAATAATACGGATTTTTCGCTCGTTTTTGCGGCTGGAGGTTGAGGACGAGCGCTGGGATGCCACCGTTTATCGCATAATCTCCGCGCCGTTTTACGTTTAATTAAACAAATCCGCCTTCTCGCTGTTCGGCACTTTTAAAATTGCGGATTCCGCCGCGTCGCGGATTTAATGCTCCTTAACGGCCAAGATCATATCTTCCCTGTTAACCTGCCTGCGGTTTCTCGCCCGTTTTTATCTTAAGGTTTTATGGTTTTTACGTATTGCAGTCGGCAAACCGTAGAACTTTTTAATAATTTTAAACGACCTCAATTAACACCGCCAAGTTTTATCCCTCGCGTCATCGATTCAAGATAATAGCAACTCTGTTGAAGAATAATGTATACTGACGGAAATGATTATTAACCTTAAACAGTGGATGGAAGTAACGAAAACATTTAATCATTTATATTTTAAACAATAACTGCTATGAGGGGAGAAACTTTACAACCTTATAAGATCGAAAACTAATTACAGGTTTCAAGATTCGCATTAAATCCAAAATACATCTTAACTCAATTATGCCTTAAGGTCCGAATAATGAATACACAATAGGGCGGGAAAGTTTACAACGGCCACCTAATCAATCCTAATACACCGAAGGTGGATATAGACAGGTGATTTTGGGGGTAGAAAGGGCGAAGTCCCGTGCGTGCCCAACTTCTCGGCCCTGTCCATTAGGCCCCAGGACTAGCGCAGTTTCGTCGGGGCTTCCGGTCCCCGCCGTCTTACCTCGCTTCCGGAACTTGGCCGCCCAAGTCCGGAATAATTCAACGCCAACTTGCCACTTTAAGCCGTAATGAATAGGTAATTAGTTAATATTGCGTTCTGGGGCCGCGCTGTCCGCACGCCAACAAAACCGGTATCCCAACCACCCCAAGACTGTCCTTTGGGACCCATTACATGGTACGCGGATGTGTGCGTGAACCCCATTGTCCTACGATCGGACCCGATTGAATTAACTCTAATTACACAGGATTAAGTCTCTTCTTGGGTATATTCTCGAAAGTTTCTAGTAACAATCTTGTAACTAGGGGAAGTACCAATCCTTTAGGAAATCTACCAATTAACTTTTAATTCTCATTCTAAGCCCAAATTGTTTATTTTTCTTTTTCATAGTTTTAATTCTCTATATTATCTATATATACAGTGGCAAACACTGAAAGAACAAGAATAAAAAGAGTAGAAAGACCGCGTAATACGGTAGCCGTTCCGGTGAAAAGAACCGATCTGGATCTCTGCGGAGATGGTCTTATTCAGCGTCTCTTTCGCTCGCGAGCCGGCACCCAACAAAGCGAGCCAATCATCGAATAAAAGAGAAATATAATAATTGATATTTGAGAAATTTTAATTGAAAGCGAGGCGGCGGGCAGGGAGGGGCTCCGTTCGGCCCCCGACGACCGAGGCTGCTCGCGCTCGTAATGGGCCGGCTATGACGAGGCGATATCTCACCACGGCCGATGATAATAACCTCCATTCGAACGGAGACGACTCATGTACCTAATTAAACCAGGGAGTTCTCTTTCACTCTTATTGGTAGAACTTTAAGAACTACAACCATAAATAAAACCAATAGAAAATCAATAGGTTTATTAAATATTAATTTTGTTTTAAATTTAATTTGACGTCGATGAAACCAATTCTTCGTCACCTTAACATGTCGAAACCCAAAAACGTTGTTGTTGTGTCGTTGTGTGAAATCAGAGGATTCGTATTGGGATCGGCCTACAAAGTAAAGTCATCAGCGTGTGACTAAACGGTCGGAAAATTATCTAATCTATCCCCGCGTTCCGGCACAATACTTTCCGATCTCATACTTTAATCTTTCCACAAAAGGAAAGGAGCTACCGTTCGAGACCCTACAGTTTTCGAGATGTTGTTTAATCGTTTTTTTTTCTTTATCTTTCTTTGAAGTCATCCGTAGGTGAGCACCTCGCGGTGCTTCGCGCACAGCTTTTAATCCCGAACAACTGAAGGAAGCTCGAAAAGGAGGGCGAAAAGCTCGAAGGAGAGCTTTATTCAATTTCATGCACCGTCTCTCCCGCATTACGGACTTATATTTAAAAACATCTCTAACTCGCTTATGTCGCGACATTCTGCTGAATTTTGATTACGCGACTCTCTCTCGCCCGGGAACTTTCCCGAAAGCTCGAGAGCAATTTCGTTCGGAATTAAATTTCGAATCGTTGTGTGCGTTATTGTGTGTTGCCGTCCTCTTCTAAGCGGACTCAAATTGATTCTACATCCAAAGCGAACGGTGGGGTTGTTTAAGAACGAGTGTTCCCTGACCAGGGATTCGGCACAACGAGGCGCGAAATAACTAGAGATAACATCGGTGCTAAACGGCCCCAGGTTAGATGATGCTGTCGCCTCGCTGAGATAATAACGTTTTCGCCGTTCAGATTAAAGTCCTCGTCCTAATCTAAGCTCAAACCGGGTCGTCGGCTCTTTCTCTTGCGTGTGTGAGTGTGTTTACAGTGGTTGGCACCCCCGAAACTGTCATTTTCGAGGGATCCTACGCTCCGTCACTTACATTTGCATTTATATTTCTACCGCACCCTTCCTGAACGTTAACACGAACTTTGATCTTTACAAAGCGACGCATAATATGATTCCAATTTAATTTTTAAACCAAAATATAATTAAAATTTGTTTAAAATGGCTTAATTTTAATTTATATTAATTTTTTTGCAGAAACTTTGGCTCAAGAATTAGAATTAGAAAGGAAATCGAGGCAACAACAAGTTGAAGCACAAGACATAAAGCCACAAATACAAGATCGTCAAAACTATTATAAAAACTCTGTTCTTTTTACGAGCAGTGCCACATAAAAAGTGTATGTGCGTATGTGTGATTAAAACGCGTCGAGTTTTTTTAAGTAATCTAGTTATTCACATGATTTAAAATAGCGATTAAAGCGTTTTAGATAATGATTAGAACTCGTAATTATAAGTATAAAATATCGTAACCAATGCTAACGTAATGTATTAAGTGTTACTTTTAAAGACATATTGAATAAGAAAAGTACTTGTAAGTGAATAAAAAAGATCTTATAGCATATCAATTTAAGGGAGTTCTTTTTCGTACTGTAAATAGATTATTAAGTATTGATTACTATTACTGTTTAGTAAGACTGAACTATTGGGCATATACAACAATTTTTGTTTTGTACGAAGATGTTTTTTGTATTAGTTTTCGTTTCGATAAGTAAAATAAAATTGTATATACGCGAGGCTTTAACAAGATTTTAGAACTATATGAGTTAAAATTGCGATACGATTAAATAAGAAACTCTCATCTTATACAAAATATCAAAGTAAACAACAAAAAATGTGTTCTTTTTTTCGCTCTTATACCTACAGCAAAAGTAATTGTATAATACATAATTAATTAATTAATCCTTTTATAAAATAAATTAGTTAGTAAGCGAGTAGTGTTATTATTATTGCATATTGTATTCTGTAAGTAACTGATAGTTAGATCATTTCAAATGAAGTGTAAAGTTCTGACAATTTGTATACGCCATTTTCGACAATCATTGTCAGAATTGCTTTTTATGCGAAATAACGTAACGGTTTTTCATTTTCGTGCAATATAATCCCACTTGTACTAAGCTTTCCGAAAAGTTTTAAATTGTTCAGCAAAAGCGATTGTAGTGTTTTCATGGGACGAGTCGAAAAGTATTTTCGGCACGGCGAGTATGTATTTATTGTAAATATTTATATGTTTGCGTGTGTATCTGTGTGAGTGTGCCTTTTAGTGAAAAATAAAAGTCCTTAATAAACGAGATTACAGCGGTTTTATTATTGGAAAAGTTCTCCCGTCCCCAGATTCCAATTGGTTTTTAATTTTAACCGGTTATAAGGAAGGAAGGCAGGAATGGAAATATGGAAAATTAAATATCTCCCTTCGACAACCGAGACCGAAAAAATACACAACGTCTGTCTCCCCCTATCCAGAGGAATTCGCAATCTCCAGTCCCGAATTCCGTTACGACGAGAGAGGTTTGACCAACTGGACATCATTGACGTCATTTCATATTTCGATTCGTTAAATTTCAATCATCGATTGAGTGGTGTGGTACAGTTGTGGTCTAAATCTTTTTCATTTCGGATAGATTTTATTTTAAAACTCCATAACACGGTATTAGTTATTTCTTGGACGATAAAACATATAGACTATAAAATAAAGGATATCAAAAAGGGGAAAGAAAGCGTTTGTGGTTTCCCCCCAAAAAATTCGAATACAAATAACAATAACATTGTTTTCTTCCATCAAAGGGAAAAAATTCTCGTTCAAGCGGAAAAATTTCAACTAGAAATATGAAAAACGAACCTTCTAAAAGCTACCGATATAAGATGAAAAAATGGGGGGCTAAAACCACCTTAATTTTTTTGTTATGTTGTGCGTACAACCCCGTTTTTAATTTTATTAATAACAATTCCACTTTAAAACCACCCCTTTTGGTTAAAATCCATCAATTATCCGTAAAGAGGGAAACAAACGCCATTGTATCCATTAGCGTCCGTCGAGGACCGCTTCAGATGGGATTTTTCGAGCCTCGAACAGTAGCTCGGTGACTTTTCATTTCCATTGTCGCGTACGTTGGGAGTCAGTGGCGTGCTGCGCGGGGCCGATTTTTTTATTATTATTTATCCCGCAGCTACGAGGACAATTATATCATTGAATTAGGCCGTTTGGGCGCCGATAAAAAGTGATGAATTTTGCACGGTCATCCTTGGATCGTGGAGGGGAATAGTAGATGATTTTCAGTGTTGCCAATCGACGGAGCGCCGCCTATTCAACACCAGCCGATATCAATTTGAACTGTCAATCCACGTACGGTTCGTTGGCGTCTTCAAGATTGGCCTTCAAGGTGTCTTTCTTGGAAGTATTCATGAAGACTTATCACAATGAGCACGTTCTCATCTCGCTTTGAATCATCTTGATTATTTATTACTACATATAAGGAATTTTGTGTTGGGTTATCTTTTGGCTTTAAAGATTCTGAGAATACTATAATATTATTTGGAAATATTTCTGAAAACGGTTTCAGCGAAATGTTCATTGGCAGATGTTGAACGTAAAGGGAGAGAAAGAGATAGGAATTACAATGTGGCCAGGCGGACCTTTCCATCAAAATCGTTTTCGACAACGAAGAGAACTGGGCGAAACGAAAAAAAGAAATATTTTAAAATGCATTACAACAAAAGTATATTTCGTATACATATAGAAGATATTTGGACCGGTTCGGGTCCGTCTCCCTGAGACGCAAGATCCGATGGCATCATGATGAACCGAGAGTGGTAATAACAGGGTACGGGCACACATAATGGCCTACCCCAAATGGCCGGGCCCCATTTTATAAAATTTAATTTGTTTTTATAGCTTTGATTACTAGTTGCCGTAATTTGAAAACGTTTTAATAAAAATAATGTAATGTTTCTTAGGATATCGGGGCTTCGCTTTTATTTTATACCAGCGCAAAAGGCATCGCCATCACCGAAAGGGAAGCAAAAAGTCTCTTTCCAGCCCCGGGAATATAAAGATTGATGTCGGTGGCGGTAATTTCTGAATTCGAACTGGTTATCGAAATTAAGTGGGGTGGTGCGACCAACGTGGGTTCAATCAATATAGGGAAACGATATTTTCGATAACTTTTTTAAATTAGTTTTATTAGTTATTTTCGTGCGTGATACTTTTTTTTTGCGGCGCCGCCGCCGGTGAGAGATTACCAACTAATTTCCGTAACTGTGTCGAAAAATGAGTTATGCCTTTTCAACACGAACTTATTATTGGCGGAACACTTTTGACAGGGCTATTTGTAACGTTTGTGTTTTCTTCGTGGATTTCTACCCTAACAAATACCTCACCTAATAAATACTGATCACCTCACGACGAGCTAATATTCTTAAAAAAATAAACCACCCTATTATTACTTTTTATCCATTTTTTTTTATTCTTCAGCTGTATCGATGTAACTATTCATTTAACACAAAGAGGATAAAGGAGATCATAAGTAGCCTTAATACAACATTTCCGTTTTACTCCTTCTACTCCTCCTTCTTCTATAGAATCACTTTTTTCAGTGTAAATCTGTATCAAATATGTAGAGTTAGAAGTTAAAATATACTGCCTAAATTTTAACCAACCAATTATTCTCACAAGAAACTGCATTTATGTATGCCAAAGTCGTCAACAGATAATTTTGTACAATTGAATGAATATGTTCACTATGAAGCAGATATTGTTATTTCAGTATAAATAAATATCGTCTCTAATATCTCCCAACCCCGACATCTTCGGATATCGTTTATGGCATCAAAATCATTTCTCATATATGTTAATATAATCCCTAAAATATCTCAACACTGTTCAGACCTCCTTCAATATCTTTCCCATAATGTATAAAAAATATTGTTTTTGATATGGCTAAACATTGTCCATGATGGTTCTCAACATCATCTAATATCCTATAATATTGTTACTAACTTTCCTCAACATTGACTATAGCATCAAAATAATTCAAAACTATCCCAGCTTTCATTAACATGTTCCCTAAATCTGTAAATATGGCTCTAGATACTTCTAAGCTTTATGCCTAATATCTCTCTGTATCACCATTGATAGTTTTGAACATAGTCCCTGATATGTACTCCAATTCTTAGATTTTGGAGTTAAATGCCAATAAATTTAAGACGTAACAAAGCTTTTTTGAATATCTGTCCCTTCATCTACCAACATAATTTTTGATGTTTCTAAACATCATCGTTTGATATAGTACCTGATATTTTTCAATATTACCCTGGCTTTCCTTAATATAGCTTCACATCCTTAACATCGTAGCCTGACATCTCCCAACATAATCCCTAACATTTTTTAACACTGTTTTCAATGTTTTAGCCTCCTGTAACATCTTCAACACTTATATATATCGTCTTTCATATCTCTAATTATCGTCCCCAAGATCTTTCAATGCCTGCACATCTTTATTAATATCTCTAAACATCGTCTCTAATATCTCTCAACCCCGACATCTTTGAATATCGTTAATGGTATCAAAATCATTTCTGACATATGCCAATATTATCCATATAGTCCATGATGATTCTCACTGGCTTTCCTCAACATTGGCTATGGCCCCAAAATCGTCAAAATATTTGAAAACTATCCTAGCCGTCATTAACATATTCCCCAAATCTATAAATATGTTTCTAGAGCATCATGCCTAATATTTCTTCATATCGCCATTGATATTTCTCAACATCGTCCTTGATATGTATACCATCACATTCAAGAGTTGTTGAAGAAACTGAAAAATTCATGGTTTGTTGGCGAAGTGTTGCAGAAAAATTGCAGAAGATCTGTTGTATGTTATGATACAGCACTTCCTGACGAACGTATATTCTTATGATGAACATATTCTTTTTATTTTGTCAAAATATTTGTACGTTAAATTTATATCCAGTGTATTTTTCATAATAATATTAATGTGAAAAATGATTATCAATCACGAAATAACTCCCATAACTCTAATAACTTGCAATTATATTATTGTAAATTTATAATTTAATTGCGAATAATTGCATTGGTTATCGTACGAGAATCTCGTCGCGGATGGATGCGAAAGATTCTGAAGAGACCAACGAAGAAGGTATAGCAAGGACGAAGAGGCGACCAGAAAAGAGGCCTGACAAGTTAATGCGTCGCAGCCTGGGGCAAATTATAGATGTCGCGATCGGCGTAATTTCGCGTCTGGCAGCGGCCCTCTCGTCCCTTTAAGGCAAGATTGAGTCTTCAATGCTAATCTGGCTGGGCTCCCAGTACTTTATTATACAATGTTGAAATTGATTTTGATACAAATCCGCGGCGTAATTGATACGCTTATTTTCGCCTTCCGGTTATTTCGCGCGGTTAATCCAACAGTCCGTCCTCGTTCGGCGTCATCACCGGCTGTCGTCGACTCACTTACATTTTTCCTTTTTTTCGTCAATTTTTTTTCAATCCATTTTTCTGGCCATCACTTCTTCGAACGGCCGATGAGCGGTTTACGAAGCGTGGAATTTTTAAAAGCTCGTCTTCTTTGTGTGATTAAAGTTTCTTTATCGACAACTCCTACCACTTTACAGTTTACTCATTTCATTTTAAATATTTGCAATGATTATTAAAGTTTTTATAAAGAGTTACGAAAACATCTTATTCTTTACTTAAACTTTTTTTTATAATGAAACATATACAATAATAATCCAGCGTTAATTTGTTGTTAAACCACGCACCAGCCGAGAATAAAATTGTTCCGCTCACACCACAATTAACTGAAATACATATTTATATCAGAGATGGATTACAAAGTTCCAGTTTTACATTTTAATTCGCCATGGTAAAAGTTTCAAGATCTTATATACTTGGTCTTCATTAGCGCATTCTTTTTTCGTTGAGCGTCTCGGTTCGTGCTGTAACTTCTAGTTTTGCATATGCTCATTACTGGGATAATTGCCGATTTAAACATTAGAAACCATGGGGCATTACGTCTGCGGTCGGCAATAATAACAACTTTATTCTAAGGTTGCACGGACGCTATCTGTCTATTAATTATAAGACTATAGAAAACCCAGTGTACGGTTTCGCGATGTTTAACATGTAGTTGTTCTTAGGTAATTAACTGAGAAAGTTCGATATATGTGTAAGTAAAAGCGGTGAGTCTAGGAAATATCACACGTGTAATTAAATAATTCCGTTAGTGGTTGAGCAATGAGTTCTGTCCGACCATGTGAGAACACTTTTTATTT